CTGTGGCACGCCTAGAGGCAGTCAGATCAGAGAGAGAGAGAGAGAGGGAGAGAGTGAGGAACGGGATGTTGCCGCGGAGTGTGGCCACATAGTTGACTCTGGTAGGTGGCTCGGCATATTTGCTGCGCCTGTCAACGCCAAGATGCGCTTAAGCATTATTAATTGTTTATGAAATGAACTGCGCCGGCCACTAAACAAATGATAATGAGCAGCGAAATATGCAAACGCTGCCTAAGCAAAGTTGCAGCATGACCAAGAGTGGATGCCGCATGTGGCATGCGGCAGCAGTGAAGGGGCCAGCTGAATGCAGGCATGAATTCATGTGCGCATCGACTGGCCAGCCCAGTCGAACAGTCAGTCAGCAGGCAATTTTGCATAATTTCCGAAACACATGTTGCCTTCAATCATGCGCGAAGCAGCAACAGCCACAGCTACAGCCCCAGGCCCAGGTCAGAGATACATATAGGGGGCAGAGACAGAGACGGAGACAGAGAGACAGCGACGGAGGCGGAGCAGAAGCCAGTGCAAACGGGTAGTGAAGCCCTCGGGCCAAATAGACAAATTGACTAACTGACTAACTGACTGAGGCCTCCAACTCGAACCATGTTGGGGCCTGGCACAGGCACAGGGATAGAGACAGGGACAGGGAAAGGGATCGGGACAGGCACAGGGCCCTGTCGACTGGCAGAGCAGAAAATCAAGTGAAAATGTAGCGGAAAACATTTTAATACTAATTACAAAGAATTTGTGCCGCCGACGTTTGGCACTTTTCCTTTTTATTATTTTTCAACTCTCTGCATGGCCATACACTTGCTTTGAGCAACATCAGCTAGTGCAAAGTCTATGACATTATAAATATTTATATGTCAGGAGTTCAAGTTAAAAAAAATTGATGGACCTACTCGCATGCAAGGCAAACCTCTACCGAACAAAAGATCACGAGTTCAAGACCTGCAGCGATCATTATTCATAACGCAATAAATTATTGCTAATGAACTTGTTTTGCAATATTCGACGATTCGCTGTTTATCCTTCAAAATGAGTTGAAATTTATATACCTATATCTATAAATTGTTTAAGACTTGCTTTTGTTTACAGTCAAACTCCTTGCGAAGAATGAAAAATATGCAATTTCTAAAATTCCAAAGACAAATCGACCAAGTTTACCAGAGTTTTTCAAAAGCAATAGAAAGAATCAAAGCTCAGAGAAGGAATTTAGCAAACATTTTAAGGAAAGGGTATTCAAATTCAATGTTTTCTCTTCTCTACTTTGCTCTGATTTACTCTCACTTTCTGGGCACCACGCTGCGGCTCTCTTGTGGACTCCCCTCGATTTTTTTCGATTTCCGAAAATAAATGTTTTGGCAGAGAGCTGGCGGAGCAGGACGAGGAAAACAGCGATTGCGACTCCCCGACTGCATTTTAATTGGAAAAGAGGTCTCGTCCAGGCCGCAGAGTCAGCTGCTTGGCTTTGGGAGTCGCACGGCGGCGTTTTCGCTTTAATCAAATCGCTTTATGACAGCTCAGATATGCCGACAAATGACACACAAGACACATAAACGTCATTAAGTAAACACAAGACCCGGCACGATCCCCCAGTTCCCCATTAGGCAATGGGAATGTGAATGGAAATGGGAACGGGTAGCCACAGCAATGGGAATCGGAGAATTGGAGTCGGAGACGTGGTCGAAGCGATGCGGGTGGCAGGTGAGCTGCTTGCCTGACATTAAACGCGTGTTAATTTCAGTTAATTTGGGGCGTGATTCGCTTTGAGTCGGGAAAACAGCCAGCACGGCAAAGGCAAAGGCAACGCCAACTCGTCCATGCTCGTGTCCATCCATCAACACGCGCGCGCGTTCCGACAGCGGACGCTTCACTGCATTTGTCAATCAGCGTCTGCGGGACAGAGAGTAAAAGAGAGGGGAGGGGAGTGGAGTGGGGGGAAAAGTGAGTGGCATTTTCATGCTTGTGTTGCAGCCTCAAGGTCCATTTCCATCACTTGTCTCGCGCTTTTCGGTCTGGTTCTGGTGCTGGTTCTGGTTCTTGATCATGTGGCGCCTATCATAGCAAAAGTTTTCTTGCTCTTGAATTTCGCTCGAGAAAGCCGCCGAGCCAATCAGGCATAGGGAGTAAGAGCGGGGGAAAAAAAAAAAGAAGATTGTCTTGTGAAGTGCATATTCGTGCTGCAGTTGGTCCACAATATGGCACTTGTGCTGGGCGAGAGTGTTCAAGTGGGTGTGGGATCGTGAATCTATGTATGGATATGCAACTAAGTATATATAAATATTTGTTGATACATTAGATCATAAATGGATAGTGGAAAAAATACTAATAAAATCCATAGAAATAATATCAATAGAATATTAAATTATATGCTAAAGAAACAAGGAAGAGAGGGGAGTCAGGGAGAGAAGACTTTCATATACAAACTTAATTTCATGCTGATTTTATATATTATATAAGCTAGGAGCTAGGTATCAGATATAGCTTAAAGGAGCATTGAATTTTCCAGAAACAAATACAATACTTGATCGATTGGTTGTAAAGGCTTCTTTGGTAAGAAGAAGAATTTGTCTATATATCGGGAGCGACATAAATTATCCTTAAAAAAGTGCACTTCAATTTCATTGATGCTTCTTAAGTTATAACCATGATAGAGAGAAAAGAAGGTGAGAAGAAAAACAACTAAACACTTATTGCTATAACTACAAGCAGCACACACATACATAAACATTTTTAATTTTCTCATTATTTGTGCCTATAATTCTCAAGTGGTTTAAGCACAAGCAGATGATCGCTGGAAGGCGTCTGCTTGGATGGGTAACTGGGTAACTCTCGAAACAGCTGTCCAATTTGCACAATAATAGTAGAATGTAGTTTATATATTCAGCTGATTTACCGACTTTTTATCTTCCCATTCAAACTAATAAGATATTAACTGCTTGTTGACTAAGCAGAATCCTTTCAAACTCACACAGAACTATTTCAGAGCTGTAATCAATGTGTGTTATCCATTTCATCTTTCTCCGACAAGAAACCAAATTGAATTAAAATCTCAAACATGTTGGACTTTATTTTTATGTTTTTCGATATTGTGTCGGCATCTGGTTTTCTCTTCTCTTAACTCTGTTCTCGCCTCCCTGTGTTTTCCTCTTCATTTCCATAATTGTTGTTTTGTTGTCTGATTGTGAGTTGGTTTGCTTTGTGTCGCCGCCGCCGCCGCCGCCAGTTGTTGTCATCATTTCCATTGTCGCCGGGGTCTGCCTTTTCAGGGTCAAATTGCCAATTTATATCGATCTGCAGACAAGTCTCGGCCACGCCCCAAAAGCACCACACACACCCTGCAGAGAAATGCACATTAACACCTACACGCAAGTGGGCGAGGGGTGCCACATACGAGAGAGAGAGAGGCGCGACGGTGCTAACACTTTAAGCAACAATTAGGCTTAAAGATCTGCCGAATGCGGCGGCGCGTCTTGACTCTTGTCGCCAATTTGCGCAAATTATGTGCGGGCCTCTTAAAGTACCGCTAAGTGAGTGCCGAGCCGTGACAACGAAACGACAAAACGACAAAACAACCAGACAACAGCCAGGTAAGAACCAGGTAACAGCCAGGCAACAAACATAAGAACGTGGCAGCCCAAACTCCAATTATGTCAACAGCAACCGCAACAGGCGCAACATCAAAGCTCAGCCAGGTGCTGGAGCCTGCCCCAAGTGCTGTTGCCGACAAAGCAACAGTTGCCAGTTGGAAGTTACCTGGCCAAGAACCAAGAGCCGTGGTTTGCGCTTTTCTTTCCACATATATATATATATATATATATTTTTTTTTTCTATTTTTTTCTTTTATAGGTTAAACCGTTTAACAGGATGTGACTGCAATTTAACTGTTAACTGCGTGTGGCAAATGCGGCAAATGCGGCGGCTCGCTGAAACTCCCCACCAAGACGCTGGCCCCGCCCCGGCCCGCCCGCCCACTGCACACTTGCCGCGCCCGCTTTGATCTCTTTGATGTGTGCGTGGAGAGCGCCTCAAGGTCCGCTAGAACTTCAAGGTCCCCAATGCTGCATGCCACATGTGTGCGTGTGCGTGTGTTTGTCTTTGATGCAACTTCCTCAATGCGCTGCCAAACAGACAAACAACTTTGGCCAGCTAAAAACATTGCACAAGATCAAAGGCAACTCCAAAGCCAAAGCCATCATCATCATCAGCAGCAGCAGCAGCAGAAATGAAAGCGGCAGCGGCAACAGTTGCTGCATCCACAAATACATCAGCTATGACTCCTACGCCGCCTCCTTGCCTGATTGGAGTTTGTTTTAATTTTGACACCTTGAAAGATCTTTCAACATGTTTCTATACACTTTCATAGGGTAACATGAATTAGCCACAAAATATGCCACGCACTGAAGAAACATATTCGTAACCATAAGGCGTATATATACTCTTGATCAATAACCGATTCGCTAAAGCCTTGCTGAAAATTAATCCCCTATATTTTTTGCAGGCATGCATATGTCCTTATCGGCCCAATCGGAATAGTATATCATTTATAATATATAATAAATAATATATAAATAATATATATTAAAATACACAAATTAAGTTTTTATGCTCCCATCATTTGGGCAAAAGCTTAATACAATATCGCAAAGATATATCATATAACTGAGAAGAACCATTTCCGCAAAATCGAACAAATGATTTTGGTGGTTCGGTTCACGGTTCCAACCTGAGCCTCGCTTCAGGGTTCGGTTCGCGAACTTGTGCTCGAACCTTGATTCGTCAAATTTCTTTGAGTTTTCCACAGAAGTATTTATTTAATTCTGAATTAAATTAATTTCTCATTCATAAAATCATAAAAAATTTATAATAATATAAATATTAACATACTTTTATAGATTAAAAATCATGACTTTTTCTATATTTATTGATTAGGTTATGAGAAATATTTTAAATAGTAAGTTAATCGTTTAAAATTACGTCTTAGGATTCGGTTGTTCTGCATCTTACTAATCCTGTTAAAACTTCGGCTCTTGGTATATAAATCTTCGAAATCCTGGATCAAAACGTTTTGGATCATAAAAAAATTATGTAAGAGCAAAACAATCGTTTGAACCAGAAAAGTTTTTAAAAATAATGGTTGTTCTTTGCTATCATATACATATAAAAATTATAACTAAGGACTTGAAACTATTTAGTTCTAAATGGATTTTGCAGCCTTAATAGAAACATTTAGATGCCAATTCATTTTAGATCCGAATAATATTATACCATGTATTGCCGTCTGTGCAAGGGTAATAGATCGTCGGCTTGCCGAAGACAACTCTGCTTTTTGTTTAATTTCCATTTTGTGCATGCAACGCGCGTGTCTCAATCTCAATCGCAGCCTCAGCCTCAGCCTCTGCCTCGTAACGCAATTCTTTTGATTTGCTTAAGTCATTTTTGGGTTTTTAGGCACATTAATTGCATGAAAATGCATTTTATGTCATGGGAACAATCAAAATTTTCCATTTCTTTTGTTACCGACTGCAGACTGCAACCCTCGCTGTGCCTGTGACTCAGTCGCAGTCGCAGTCTCAATCTCAGTCTGGGCTTCAGTTTGAGTTTCGGTTTTATTAGATTCATCATATAGTTAATTTACGAGACGATTTTCTCTTCGGGTTTCCAGCTGCTATTTTCTATTCACCGATTTTATTTTTATTTATTTTTTTTTATGGCACAGCTTTGGCCAAGTCACAACAAAGGACGCTGCTGAAGGGAATTGAAACCAAACTGGATAAAGCAGAAAACCCCCGAGTTTATCATTAAGACAAAAACCACGAGCAAACGGAAACGTCAACGAGAGCAGCTGCTGAGGGGGAGAGGGAGCGGGAGACTGCGGGCAGTTAGAAATAAAGGCAACGGCATCATAAAACGCAGCCATCAAAACGACAAAATTAAAAAGTTCAAATGCCAAATAGAAAATGGCAGGCAAATTGTTGGCGGAAAAACGGCTAGAAAAGCAAATCATGTATGACCAAAGCGCCAGCACCGAAACTTGAATGAACTTCATGCGAGCGGGGGTAAGTGAAAAACCCAAATCAGTTTTGTAAAATTTTGAGAAATAAGAATTTAGTGGGATATGCAAGATATTTTAATAATTAAGGAGAAGTTTAATGAGAAACCGCATAGATCTGCAATTTTCTTACGAAAGTTCACAATTTAATTTTTATGAATTGTATTTTTATTATATATAAACAAGTATGTATTCCTTTTGATTCTCTATAGACATGTATATGAGTTCTACAGTCTGGTATTTTTCATTCATATTTCCGTCTGTCTAGCGTAATATACTGTGTTTTAAGACCTGCAAAGGTTTTAAGGTTTGGTGTACTCAAAATGTACAAAAATTTCTTCACTAATTTTGTGTTAAAAATTTCGAAAAATGGGTGGAAAACTTGTGATTATATCCCATTCGCTTTGAAATCGTACACAACTAATATTGAAAAAATTCGGCCAAATGGGGGGAAGATGAGCTGATATATACATATATAAAATTTAGGGTTTATAAATAGCTATTGAACAAATTTATTGGGTATAAATTAAATACATTTTATATTTCTTTATGAAAAAATAGGTTATTCTTTTAGCAAGAAATTATATTGAATTTCTTCGCAATACTTGAACTTGGCTTACAAAATCTCTTGACTTAAATCTAATCTAAATGCTTATATTGAAAAGTTATTTGTCGAATTTATAAACCCAGTTTCCCACAGTTTCTGAGCCCGGCCTTGTTGTGTGCGTCACCAACCACTTGACATTGTCGCCATGCCCCTTATTACGACCAAAATTAAATAAAAGACCACAATAGTAGAGGGAAAAGGAAAAACTTTATGCCTGCAATTTCATTCTGCAATGGTATTATGCCAGCGAAAGCGGAGCGAGGCCTGTCCAGAAATGGAGTAGCTATTCCTCCCCAGAGTCGCCTTCATTGTCGTCGCTGGCTTATTGAGACAAATAAATTTTTTTTTGTTTTTTTTTGTGGCTCGGTGGTGCCACATGGCGATGACTGCAGCAGCCGCCAAAGATTTCCCGCATTTCTTTTGCAGGGATATTTTTAATTTGGTGGCAACCAAAAAAAAGAAAGATATATATATATATGAAAAACAATACCAAAACTTTGCACATAATCGTTATCGTCAATTTGGAGGGCCCAAGTCGGGCACTCGAATCATCTGGCATGTAGCAGGGCAAACGCAGACTCGTAATTTGCGGCCTGTGTGCAACACAAAAGCCGTTCGTTGGCTTTTCTTTGGCGTGGAAATTAACATTTTTATGTTTCCGCACCAGGACGCCAGACACTATAGAGATACGGAGGAGGACTATATAAGTGCCCAGATACGGATACAAGAAGCAGGGTTCAACTTTTCTGAAACTCAAAGAACTCACATAGTTAACATTAAGTTGTTCTTTTGTACTCGCACTGCCAGCCCGGGCAACAGTATAAAGTAAGTAAGTTTTAATTACTGTTTGACAAATATTTAACATGCGAATGGGAAGGGAGTAGACACAGGGAAGGAGGAAGGAACAGGCTTACGCACAATTAAGCAGATTTTAGCCGCTTGTAAGGCAAATGAAATCACAGCAGGCCAAAAGGATTGACTCAAAGCGAGTTCCTCTAGGGGGGGTTGGCTCTCTTTCCTTTCTCTGGGGTGGCGTCGGCTTTGTTAAGCCCTGTAACAACATCGTTTTGCGCCGTATAATGTCATAAATGTCTGTTAACAAAACAACAGACGTCATAGAGCGACGGGCGCGGGGGGAAATGAGACGGGAACGGTTAGGGGAACGGGAACGAGACTGTCAAACATTATTACATTATTTGCCTTTTGCTTTGCCTTTCAAATGGCTGAAATTGAAACCAACCCTGCCCAACTTTGACCCCCTCCACTCCCTGCTGCCTAGTCCAATTTTCGGTTGCTTTTTTTTGGTTTTTGGTTTTATTTGACTTGGCTGCTGAGTCGCTGGTAGCTGCTGCTTCTTCTTGTTCTTCTTGAATTACCAGGCGCAACCCTGCGCCGAAGATTAATTGCGACTGTCGGGGGAAAAAGCGTTCTGGTTACGGAACAAATACGTGGCTTTGCCTATCGAGTGCCCAGAATGGCAATTATTAAATTTTCATTACATCCCCTAATCAGCTTTTCTGCATATTGATTCGTGTCAACAGGCTCTGCTCGCGGCTGCCACACACTGCGTGCCACATTTCTTCCAACTCGACTCTTTGCATATTCGGCAGGCTACTGAGATCGGATGAGGTTGCAACAGCAAGCGAATTGTTTAAGCAGGTGTTGAAGTACCCAATATCCAACTGGGCGGGACAAACGGAAGAGAGTGAGTGAGGGGGGGGGGGGGGTGGTATTGAACACCAAGTGGCCAAAAAGTGGATGCAAATATGAAGAAGTTAATGCCCGATTGCCGTTTAGGAAAATGGGCTTGAAAGAGGTAAAAACGCAATTTTAAATTCAAAATAAATAAATAATTAATTGTTTATTAATAATGCAACATATTTTTTTCTTGGATAAAACAAAAAAAAAAAATGTTCTAGATATATTTTTCATTTTATAAATGGATGTAATATGTATTTAAGATCTTTAGAAAATAATAAAAATGTGTTACTTAAACGTATTTTTCGCACGCTTCTAAAAGATAATCGCATAAGTATTTATAAATAAGAAAAAAGGATTCACTTTTCTGACTTAACATATCTACGTAATTTATCAAATTTTACTAATTTTGAGTTTCGCAACATTAACAAAAGTATGAACAACATAATCTAGCTCGAGCTTTAAGCCCATCAGCATCCCCTTGTCATAACTTTTTTGAATTTTTTATAAAGCAACGATTTAAAGTATGTGGAATACTAAGCTATACCTTGTCACTATTAAGACAAACCCTTGTAAGTTGGCCAATTTATTTATTAAATTAGGAGAGAATGTTGAAAAATATCGAAATGAATTCTTATATTGGGGAAAAATGCCTTCAAAACATTTTCCAAGAGTTACGTGTCGAAAAGTTTTTTTTTTGTAATGCCAAGATTTCTTAGCACTCACGAAAAATAAAAAGTTTCCGTTAACAAAATTATATTTAATTTAGATTTGATTTTAATTTGAATGTAGAATTGATTTTGCTAGATGAAATGAAATTTGTAAAGAAACTCCAATCTATTTTTATAAAATTATTTTGGTCATATTTTTCGTATTAAAATAATTATTTTTTTAGAACAATAAAAAGGGTTTTGAAAACAAATTAAGATGGATGAATAAAAGTTGAATCCTGCTAGGAGTGAAAATTTTTTACCCATTTGTTGTAAATTTGTGACTACTTCATCCAGCGATTTCTAATGCAGTCGATGCCTATCTTAGCCAAGTCAATGATATCTTTAAAGAAGTTGATGGCAAATTTAAAATCAATAAAATTGCTTGTTGCAACGCACCTGACGCTGAGTGCAGGAGAGTCGGAGCAGCAGAGAGTGGCTCATCAGCCAAATGGCAAATGGGCAAATGGCTCCGGCAAATAAGCCGATTAATTGTAATCAAGCGGCTCGAACCGTGGCTCGAACCGTGCACCGTGGACAAAGGCTGGCTAATGGGCAATAGCTTGGGCTTGTTGCTGTCTATCGATTTGTCTGGCCCGACGGTTGGGTCAACGCTTGAGCACAACTGAAACACTTTCTACCCCAATGCGACGAGCATAAAGAAATCAAATTAGCAAGGCATCAGGCGCCCATTTGGCTATTGTGTAATAAAAAAAAAATTGCTACCACTTTCACAGGAAGGGCCAGGACGCATCCAGCTCGAGTTGGAGCTAAAGCGGGAGTTGCAATTGTTGTTGGGTGGTTTGGTAATGACAAATAATAACCCTGCCACAGCAGGCCGCCCTTCTGTGCCGCCCCTCTGTGGTTGCTGCCCGTTGTCAGTGGGCAAATAATTGTGAAGTGTAAGTAAAATTTACGCTGCAGCCCGTTGCTGCTAATAATCATAAAAAACGGCGGCTCGCACATTTTGACAACCGGCTGCCGTCCGCAACGCAACGCGCAATCCTTGCAATAAAGATGAAAATGTTTTTGGCTGACAGGCGCAAAAAAGCAAAGCAAGTATAAATAATTTTAGTTTATTGTTTAAACGCGCCTCGGGGCGTGCCACACAGCTAGCGGACCGAACGAACATTGTGCCCCAAAGAGTGGCTGCCTACTAACCGCCTCTTCGACTTCTGCCTCGCGGGTTTTATGTTGCATTTGTCAGCATTCGGGTGGTCCTCGGACTGTTTGTTGCACATTTTCTTTCCATAGCTAAGTATTTATTTGAGTTGGCCTCAGCTAAACTTGGAAATCAAGTGTAAACAAATAAGTGCGACCATTTTTCGGGCAGTTAAACTGAAAAATTGTTTGGCAAACATCAAAGAACGAATTCGTTAGAAACAGAAAAAAAATCGAAACGTTAATTGGGGAAGTTTTGATGAAGTCATATTGAAAGCCAAAGTTTTCATTTATCTTTCGTGGAAATCTGATGTTTATCAAAATATACAATTGCTTCTATGACAGCAAGTCCATAAATTACAAAAAATCAATTTAAAAAAAAAATTAAGAAAAAATGATTTTTAAATAACAACACATTTTTGATAGCTGCTGAAGATAAAATTCTTTTGCAAACATTATTCAAATGCGCGATACATTTCTATAATTAGCTACGCTGCGTTGTTTTTAGCACTCAATTCAGTCCAATTTCTGCCGAGTGTTCTGGGGGAAAGAGAGGAAGGGAAAGGAAGGGTGCAACAGAGCCCTAATAAAGTATTCCCATGTTGCTGGGATTTTCTATATAATTTGATTGAATTGCATTTAAAAATCGAATTGAATACAATTAAACAAATTTGCAGTGGAGTTTGTAATTATAAAAAAAAAACAAAAAGCTCCCTACTACACGTATGTATAAAATTTACATGATATAGTTAACATTAATGCAAACAACATAAAAAATGATGAATTCCCTAAACTCGAAGATGTTTTCCTTAATAAGCATTAAATTCGTAAAAGAATGATTAAACTCTGTGTAAGTGTGAACAAATAATTCCACAAAGTTTAAGAGCATATAACAGAGTATATATCAGCATAAAAAAGAGAATATGAAATCATTTAAAAGAGAACCCATGAAAGGACAACACACTTATTATTCGCTAGATTAAAATTATTTATAAATTTAAATCAAAAATTTGTAATACTCAATTTTATAATTCAACGACTTGGAAAATCTATCAACAAAATCCTCCCATGTTTAGATTTCAGTTTATTAACTTGTCTATTTTTATTGTTAATATTATATTTCCACCTCAATTTTGATTTTAATAAAACAGGTTTTATTTCTAATCAAAAAAGGATGAAAGTTATATTTAACTATGCAGAAAACAAACCTTGTGCAGAAAACTTCAATAGGCCGTTTTATAGACTATAATTTCAAGAGCTCTCACATAAAGTCCTTAACTTTATGCTTGAAACACATACTAAATTTTGAATTTTATGGCTGGCAAAGGTCGATCTGGCGATCTGCAGTTCAGTCAAGGGTTAGGCAAGAGCTCAAGACATATTTTGAATGCCAGCGAACATATGTATATGCCATACAATTCGTTGCAATTGCCGAAGGGTAAAGAGTAAAAGTTGATTTGTGGATGGCTCAATCTGTAGATTGTGTGCCCAGAGGCAGTCGAGGAGGCGATTGCACACACACACACACACACACACAACATGTCAATGGCAATTGGCCCCAGGCCAGAGTATGCCATAAAAACGCATGGGATGCCCTCGGCTGGTCGGGGGCTACGTTAATAGGACAAAAGAATTTGACGAGCTGCCTCAATTGATGATAAGATTTTGCTTGGGCGCGTTTCCAATTAAGCGTGTGCTGCAATAACTGTTAAATGTACTCACTATGGACTCTGCATATCCATGCCGCCTCCCCCGCCAAGAGCAGTGCCTGTTGTCACAACGCTTCCTGTGGCGCCAGGGTTCAGCATGGTTCCTCCATAGCCGCCTTGCATGCCCTTGCCGCTCAATATCACGCCCAGATTGGCCAGTGTCGAGATCACATGTCCATGTGCGTGTCCTGATCCAGCGCCATGTCCGGCAGCGCCATGCATACCCGTGCTATGAGCCGAGCCATGGTTCATCACATGCCCATGTCCAATGCCACCGGCTGCCGGCGCGCTTGCCGTGCTGCTGCCCAGCCCGCCGGCGGGCAGACCGGCGCCCAGCTGATTGATCGCCGCACCGCCAGCGCCAACGGGCAGCTGCATACCGCCGCCAACAGCTGCCCCACCCAATTGGCCGGGGCCAGCGAACAGCGTATTGAACATGGAGCTGTTCAGGCTGGGATTGCCCAGGTGCTGCTGGTTGTTGATGTTGCTGCTGTGCAACTGTTGCTGTTGCTGCTGTTGTTGCTGTTGTTGCTGCTGCTGCTGTTGTTGTTGCTGTTGCACGTTGCTCTCGATGCTCGGCACCAACAGCTGCTGATCCTGGCAGCGTCCCAGCCGGCTGAGTAAGTGCAGTAGCAGCATCAGGCTTAGAAATGTTGAATGCATCTTGCAGTTGTTCTTCTTGTTCTTGTTATCAGTTATCAGTTATATGTTGTTATCAGTTTTAAGATTGGCTAAATGCTACGCTTGCTGTTGTTGTTGGATATCGTTTGGTTCCGGTCTAAAGTCTACTTTTTGGCGTGTTTTTGAATGCGTTAATGTTGTCGTAAGTACTTTGTAGTTAATAAATTACTAAGTGCTAAGTTCTAATAAAATATTGTATTTATTTTTAAATATATTCTCATAAATTTATTTGTATGCAAAAAATGTTTTGAATTATTTGCTGGGACTGCGTGATGTATCAAAAAATTAATTATACTTTTAATTGCTATTTGGATTATGTATATACTATATATATATTTTTTTAAGGGTTCCTATATTGAGATTATGCAACTTTGATAGTCGTGATATATGTTTGTGTATATTTTTTTTATAATTAGCTTGTTTCCAACAACTTTGTTTTCGTGTAATTTTTGTTGTTTTTTCAATTTTCCTGAACTTTTGTTTTTTGGACTACTTAATACTTTTCGTTTGATTTGCGCGCTTTATTTTTCTTGGCCGCTACATTTTGTTTTTTACAAACATTTTTTTGTTCCAGTTCACTTTTTGCATGATTCAATCAACTTAATTTGTTGTGTGTCGATTTTCACGTGAGCACTTCAAACGGTTTTTCGTTTTTTTGGTTTTTCGTGTATCTTTTGTTTTCACATTATCAAAAATGTTGATTTATTTGTTTTACAGCAGCAGCCGCCGCCTCCTGGCCGATCCAGTTGGCTTCCTGGAAACGTTTAGAGCTGCTCGAGGGCGCAACATCAAAAGGCCAGCGATTCCAGACAGATCCCCCGATCGGGCGCAACGAAACCCGTTTGAACAGACGACGCGCCGCGTCTGCCTCGATGCTTCACGCCGATCCATCCATCTAAACAGGCTTAAAGGTAGCTGGTTGTTGTTGTTTTGGTTTTTTGTATTTTTATTTTATTTTTTAGCAGATTAAAAGGCGCCGACTGCGTCTTTTTTGGTTTAATGCGCGATTGGGGGCCGGCCGGCCGGCCACGTCTCAAATGCGCCTTTGGCCCGAGATCGAACGCGCGCGCGTTCCGGAATTGATCACACGGAAGTTCGCGGAGCTTCCCGGTGTCAGCGGATGTGGATAAATTCGCGCGAGCTTTGCTTCTGGCCAGGGACTGCGACTCGACTCACTTGAGATGCGAATGGATTCTCTTTAATCGAATGTTTGGTTTGGTTCTGTGTGCGGCACACACGTGCGTTCCACAGCTCGTTCGGAACTCGACTGAAGACGACGACAGCGACGGCGACTGCGGCTGGCGGCTGGCGACTGGCTTCGTGCGCTCTCGTCTCGTGTATCTTTTGGATTCACAAGCGTCGTCGTTGCCCGCCTCTGATAGGCACAAAAACTGCGCTCGTTGATGTTGTTGTTGTTGTTGTTCTTGTTGTTCTTGTTGTTGTTGTTGTTGTTGGAGTTGCGCATGCTGAAGAAATTCACTGCTGCGCAGCTAGAGCCGAGCCAGTGGTAGCTGTCTGAGTTTGGAGCGCAAAAGATACAAATGTATCTGCAGGCTGTGCTTGTTCATTAATAATCACGACAACTTGTCAATGCTGCCGCGTTTTGACATGCATCTCCAACTAACTAACTAACTAACTAATCGTTGTTTATCAGCGCACTTTATGTTAAAGTGACGCTGTTAAGCGTGTGCGCCTAACATAACATGCAAAATGTTAGTGGAAAGGTGTGCTCTCAACTGATTGCAATTTGTTGATATTTCGGTCTGGGTGGTCTGCAATTCCAAAGAAATCGGGCGCAGCAATAGAGTTCCAAGAGAAATCTAAAACCATTCGGAATTGCCAACTATTTGTTGAGCAAACAATTTTTCAAATTTTTTACTCAATGAATATTTTAAAGCGACATTTGGTATGTGTTTTATCAGACTTTAGCTTTTGATAATCATGGAATTTGTAGACTAGCTTGATCAAATCATTTCGTAACATATTTTAAGTCAATTTTGATTAAACTTCGTATCTTTTAGCGCGCCAAAAGCTTTAATGTGCTTTCAAAAGCATTCTAGGCAGATTTATGGCAGATGGTAATATCATTAGGTCCTTAAAATGTTATGGGATCAATCAAATTGTAAAGATTACACTTACCATTTTTACCATTCACTGAGAAAAGTTTCGAATATGATTTGTAGCTTTAATGTACGCTCAAAGCAATTTTATGAAATGGCGAGCTAAAGCTTATGACAGTAAAATCAACAAAACTATTTGATTTTTGCTTTTTAGTAATACCTAAGAGAAAAACGTAGATGTGCAGAAAATTTAAAATAAGAGTATATTAAGTGACACGAATTATTAAATATTTATTTGTAACAAAGTACTTGTGAATTATAACCTTAGAGGCGGGCCACGAAGCTGGAGGACTGCTGTCTTAGAAGGTAAATGATAACAAAAACCTTACCACTTTTTTTAGACGTGTTATAATAATAATTAAATAAAAAATTCTTCTTAGGAAATAGGTATCTGCAATGTTTAAAAATGAAAGAGATTAAATATAATTCAACCTATGATATCTGTTAAAATAAATATATATAAACATATATATTAAAAAAATAAAATAAATCATATGCGTTACATAAAGCGACGACTAAACTTACAGGATAATATTATTAGCTGAATTTTATAGAAAATATAACATCGAATAAATGAAAGCTCACTTAAAGCTTCGCAGGCAGGCCTTTTTTTTCTCAATATTTGAGCTTTTTTTATATATTTAGAACAGCAAAACCTACTCTTTTTCTTTTTGTTTGTTATTTGGAACTTAGAATTATGTAATATAAAATTATTTTAAGCTATGCTCGAGAATTTAATACGCTTTCAAAACAGGTTTATCAATTATCATCATTTTTTAAATTATCAACTATATATATTAATAAATAATATATATATGTGTATATATTTTTTTGTTACCAATTTATTAATTAAATAATATTTGCAGTTCGTTCAGTTACTTAGATATCTAAATTTTTTTGGTTTTAATTGCGCAGCTAATTGACAGAAAGTATTTGTAATCCGTGCCTGCTGCTGTGATTGTATCTCTGCTACTGCACATCCCTTGTGTGTGGCACTGCATTGCATCTGTTTATCTATAGATAAACGCATAGTTGTGTGTGTGTGTGAGTGTGTTTTTGTTTGCTTGGTTCATCCATCCATCCATCAGTCACTCAATCTGTTGGTTACACACATTTCTCCTTAGGCAAACCCATATCCCAGCGCTCGCTCAGCAACTACTTTTCCACTTGTTGTTGTCTAAAAAACTTGAGCTGTTTGCTGTTTACCTTCTTTCTCCTGTCCGTCTGCTGCGTCAACACATTCCCAAAAGGGCAAGGCACTCCACAGCACCACAGCACCGCAGCACCGCAGCAGCGCAGCAACACGCGACTCCGATACCAGCTAGCCGTGGTATCTTCATGACGTTTTATGGGCCTGCAAATGAGGCAAAAATTGCAGTTACAACTTTTGACCCAAAACCGTAGGCGACATGGAATGCCGCTGTTCCGCCCTCGTCCCGCTCTCGGCCATCCAATATTTGCCCAAGGTAATTACAAAAGCAACAAAAATAGAACTCACATATATAGATGTATATATGTATATATGTGGAGTTGGTGCGTTTGTCGTCGTTGTCGATCATTCGGCTTGTTTATTTGTCCAAACATTTGTCAATTTCATTGAGCTCTGACCAGGCACATTTCCTCATGGGGGCGATCATCATCGTGCGGCAGAGTCGGCAGAGTGAGGCGTCGGCGAGCGCTTTGATCGGCTTCAGTTTCGGTTCAATTAAGATTCATTTTAACGTTCATACCACATGCTACTCATATACATACAATACTTGCCATGATTGTGCGTTTATCTAATTTACTTTTACTTACAGCACCAACTACACGAACATGTCGACTGCTGGGCGCCCGCTTGCCAGCTGATAAAAAAGTATCTGAAGATGGGCCACGGGCCATGGGAATGCGACTAGCTAGCTACTAATGCCGCACGGCTCTGGCCCTGCTTTTATTGGCTTGACAATGAGCCCGTGTCCCCTATCTCTATCTCGCTCCAACTCTCTCTCTCTCTCTCTCGCTGGCGTGTAAAGGTAAATTGTGAATGTTCTTTGAGTAGTTTTTTGTTTGGGCGCACTTTCAATCAGCATGAGACGCCGTCTCCGAGCTGTGCCCAGCGGGCACACAATGAATGAGTCTCCCCTAATGATTCTCAATGAGCTGAAAGTCTGGCCTGCTAATAGACAAACGACGCATTCAGATGATCATAAGTGCAAAAAGTTCTATAGTTAATGGCAGTAAGTACCTTGAACATAAATTCTTTAAAGGTATCAAGACATGCGTTGCTTAGCTGTGATATATTTATTTATAGTTTATATTATTTATTTCTCATATGAATAAATATCAATTCAAATTTGATTAACTCTCTTCGTAAGCGAACAAAATATGTTCACTTTTAGATATTTATTGATTATGAGATTATACAACACGTTCAATCTGGAGCATCAGCCAATTTATCCAAAGTTAAAAGTACATATTTAACCTACTTATAAAAGCTTTAATTAGTTTCACATTAGTGTTTTTTTTTTCGAAAATAATACTTTTTAGACTACATTTTCGCAATTTAATACTTTTTTATTTTGTTTTATACAATTGTTATCCCTATTTCAAGTCGTAAAATGCGAAAATGCGATTTAAAATTAATATTTACCCTGTCAAAAAGTATGCTACAAGAAATTACAAATATAATTTAAAGTAATTTAGATTTTAGAACAATTGTTTTCGATATTTCTTATGTTTTGATAAATATTTGTGAAGCGAGGAAATTTTAGTTGTGCTTTCTTGTGATGAAAAATGAGCAGAAGAAAAGTTCAAATAATTTATAATATATAAATTTGCTTACATACATACATATATTTATAATATATAAATACAAAAAATTGTTTGCATTTTTCTTCTAGCTCAGCCTTCTCAGCTAAGCTTTCTTATAATAACCAATAAGCAGAAGAAAAGTTCAACTAATTTGTTAAGTATAAAAAAAAAAACGAAAAAATGTTGTAATTTATATTTTATATATTTATATATTATACATTTTTTGTAATTTTTATCCGCTAATTATTCATTATAAGAAAGCTGAGCTAAAAAAAAGTGCAAATAATTTATAATAAATTAATTACACAATTATTTTCACTTTACTTCTGAGATGGAACTTTCATGCTTAATTTTATCTAAAGCCATTTTTACCCATATCTTCTTTGTAATTTCTCAACTTTACTATATCTAGCAGCAAACTAAGTGATTATATTTTCTGGCATATAATCATATAAATATACCTTTTTTTTAAATATTGAAAAAAATGTATAACTTTTTAATAGTTTTATAATTTAAGGCTTTCTAATATTTATTAAATTAAAACTCTGACAGATATATTTGTTATTCATTAACTTAATTTAGAATTGTTGTTCCCAGCTCTAAACAAATAACAGAACTCAATTTGTTAATTTCTTTAATTCCCATCATATATTTAATGCATTTAACTTAATTGGAAAATCAAAGATTCGTCTTTTAGCACATGCTTTGTTTGGTAAATAATTATAAAAGGTTAATGCTTAAATCTTTTAGCAACTAAAAAACATATTCACATTTTATTTTAAAATTAAAATAAAGCCTAAAAATCTCTCCTTCTTCTAGCTATAGTTTACCCTTTAAAATCGAGCCCTTGCTTCGATAATTATTAGCTGACCCCCAAGTAAATGCCACTGCAATTATGACTACGCATTGACTTCCCTCCATCCCTTGAGAAGGTCAGCGACATTGACCAGTTAAATTGACCAATGTTAAATGTAGCGTAAAATTGCATTGCCAAAACGTTGTCATTCAAATCACGCGTTTCGCATTTCCACTCCCCTTTCGGGGATACGCATCTAATGCGTCAATGGCATGCCAGAGTCCATTAGACGCTCAGCTTTTCAGCTAATTGTCGCCAACCGTTCAAACGGTCTTTGAAGTGACCCCCCTCCCTAGAAAACTGCCGCCCCACACCCCCCTGGAAATGTGTCCACTCGCATTGGGAATTTGAAAATGTTGCAGCACATTTCCTGTGTTTGCTGTCGGCTTTGAAAGTCTTCGGAAAAAGCGGAGTGCAAACATCCAAAGTTTTCTCATTGTTTATGAAAAAGCGATTTTCGGTTTAAAAAAGAAAAACAAGAAGAAGAAGAAACAAAATTTTGAAGATTCGAAATGCTGAAAAAGCAACACAAATCAAACACGGGCCAAGTCTAAACATTTTTACAGACACCTGCCACTAATGACGTCTTGTTTTGCTGTCTGCTGTCGGTTCTTATTATCACCTGTAAAGAAACTATCAAATGGGGTATACACACGAATTATAAGTGGATTAGCTACACATTTCAAAGCTATTTAAACTGTAATACTGAATGTGCAACAATATAGATTAATACGATTTATGAATAGGAATTTCGTGGAGTATAAATTTTGTGCCTATCTTACATATCCAACGGATTGGTTAAAGTTAATCATGACTTACGAATGCGTATTTATTAATCAAAAAATTTATACCTATCTTAACTATCTAATTAAAA